GCTGAACATTTCTTTAAATGCTTCTGCTTAGTCACGTCAGAGATCTCTTAATCTCGCTGTGTATTGATAGCTCAGTTTAATTAAACAGGAACTGTTTTCCACTTGGTGAACCCTGATAATTTCTGTTAGCCTGTGAGCGAAGCCATGGAGCTGTTTTATAGCCCTTAATGTGTGTTTCCCTGGAATTTTCATGGTCAGGGTGTCCTTGGGCAGCCAAGGTTTACGTAACACATGGCGCAGCCGAGCGGAGCTGTGGACACACTGGGAGAGTCTGTCCACACGTGGAATTTTGAGTGTGCAGGATGGAATTCTGCTTACTGCTGCGTTCCCATGGGAAAACAGAATTGTGTGAGGGTATTGGGTCTGTGCTAATTCCAGTCTGTGGTGTTTAAACCCAACCGGGGAGGGGGTGAGGGGATTTGGGGGGACAGGGTATTAATTAGGGGATGCCCTGGAAGCTCCAGGCAGGACTCGAGGCTGCTCTGTGCCCTCGGGGGCGCCGGGAGGTGGCGTCAGATCACTGCAGGACGAGCCCCGAGCCTTGGGCAGAGCCCTGGGCTGTGCCCCTGCCTGGGCTGATGAGCACTGGGTTTGGTGGATGTGCCCCAGCCATGTGTGTTGGCACCCAGAACTCGCTGGGTGCTGGGCTCATGTCACAGTGTGGGCAGCAGTGAGGGGTGCCCTGCTCAGGTGAGACCTCACCTGCAGTGCTGCATCCAGCCCTGGGGCACCAACATCTGAAGGATGTGGAGGTGCTGGAGAGAGTCCAGATGAGGCCATGGAGATGCTCCAAGGGTTGGAGCAACTCTGCCCTGGAGCCAGGCTGGGAGAGCTTGGGTGTTCACCTGGAGAAGAGAAGCTCCAGGGATACCTTAGAGCTCCTTCCAGTGCCTCAAGGGGCTCCAGGAGAGCTGCAGAGGGACTTGGGATAAGGCCTGGAGCGACAGGAGAGAGGGAATGGTTTCCCACTGCCAGAGGGCAGGGACAGATGGGATATTGGGAAGGAATTACTCCCTGTGAGGTGCTGAGGCACTGGCACAGGTTGCCCAGGGAAGCTGTGACTGCTCCATCCCTGGGAGTGTTCCAGGCCAGGTTGGACAGGGCTTGGAGCAGTGTGGGCTAGTAGAAGGTGTCCCTGCCCATGGCAAGAGGATTTTACTCTTCAGTTCACCAGCAGAGCATGTGGGTTCTGCAGTCAGGTTTTTAAACACTTCCCGCAAGAACATTCCCCAAGAGGAATGTGATTCCATTTTCACATCCGTTCCCTTAAAATACATTTTTGTGCCAAAGGCTACAGTGAAGGTGTAAGCTCCAGTAATGAATTACATCCTTTAATAGGGATGCAGAATGCTTTTAATAAACTGCTACTTTGAAAAATTGCTTTTAGAATGAACGGTAGAGTTGGGGTTTTTTTTGTAAAGTCTGAAGAAAAACCACCATCTACTTATTCACTCGCCCATCAGCCCTGCAGCTCCTTGTAGCTGCCACTGTCTCCAGGAGGTGTTGGCATGGAAACTTCAGGCATTGCTCCCTGGGAGTGCAGGGAATACAGCGTGCCATGCCTCTGGAAAGTTGTGACTTGTTCTGCATAAAATGTGCATCAAAATGCAATGGAGAACTTCCACGTGGTCTTCATGTGTGATTTGTGTGGGATGTCACCAGTATTCCATATACCAGCAGAATTAGCCAGAGGGAATTGTGACATTATGACCAGACAGCAACATAAGCACTACACAGATTGAATTCTTGGGATTCAGTTGCATATTTCCACACTGAACTTTGCTGTTTCACCAGCATTGCTCATCTAGACATGGGGTTTGTGTCGACTTCTAGTAGCACCATGGCAATGCTCCTCTGTTTGTAGCTGCAACGTGTGTATTTGAGTGTTTCCATGAGAGGTTGGATGTATAAATAGCTGTTCTTTGTCCTTCTTAGGTACAGCAGGAAAGGCAACTTCAGTTTGTGACACCACCACCCCCGTTTTGGCGATGTCCCTGTCACTCACTCTTGCCTCTGTCCTTCACAGCTCTGTGTTTTGCTGCAGTGGTACTCGAGCCTTTTTTTCCCTCTGCAGTCCCTTAGTTCTCCTTACCCAGCTGCAGCGTGCATACCCTCGTTTAAACAGTTCTTTCCTGGTTAATTTAAATTAAAACTGAAAACAAGAGGCTTGTGCCTGTTCATCCTGCAGAACCTGAGTGGTATAAAGTACATTATTCCTCTTGACTGGTCCCTGTGTTGCCTGTGTCATCCTTCAGAGACAGCTCAGCAGCACAACAAACACCAACCCGACATTTATGAGGTCATTTCAGAGAGGCTCATACACGAGGTTCTCCTAAAAGCCTCATGAAACAATGTAAAGGAGCATGTTCAGCTCCTGGAGGGGAAATAATCTGCCTTTTGCGTGGAGCAAGCTCAGGAGGTTGCCTGAAGCATCCTCACTCTTTATTTTCCTGCCTTCTAATGCACACCATTCTCTCCACGACTCTCTGTCATTTTCCCTCTGCCTACAATTGTCTTTGACTTCCCTCTGTTTTCCCCAGGCAATCCTTTCAATCTTCAATTTACTTGTCTTGGTCTCAGTATGGTCCAATCTTTAGGGTTTTAATGTTAACCCCTCAATGGCAGTGTATCCTTAGCTTTGCCTTTTCTTTGTCTTTTAACTGAGTTGATATTTATTGGAAAGGGTTTACAAGCTCTTAAAGTTTAAAACATGAAGAGGGGAAGATCAGTGAGTAAATAAAGTCTCTGTAATTCTACATCCAGCAGAGATTTTCACCTCTTGCCAAGTTTTTCCGACTCTGAGCGTAGCTAATGACCAGCTTCATCTGCCTGAGTGAAATATGGGTGTATTGATCTGCCTAAGTGAAATATGCTGGGATTGCTGAAGTGCAGAGCTATGGATCTGCCTTTGACAGGGAGATGGATGAACCATTTCAGTAGTAGAACATTTTTTTCATGTTGAGAAACCATCTTGTCTACAAACAATAAAGTGATTTGTAGTAACGAACGGAAAATACTTTTCTTGCTGGAGATTACCCCATTTGTTTTCATTTTCTGTGACATGTTTTGCTCATTATGCTGCAGGATGCAAATCCAAAGTTTTATAAGGAACAGTTCATGATGGTGAAATGAGGGAATTGAGGTGGGGGATCTCTGGCATCACTCCAGGCAGTGTCAGCCCCAGGGGCTGCCAAGCTGCTGCAATGTTCCATGCCTGGGAAGGAGTTGGGGGTATCTGTGTTATGGGAATTGCTTGTGCAACTCTGGATGGGCACGAGGACAGTGCTGTGGTGTTGTCCCAACACTGCAAAATGCTTTCTGTGGGCTTGAATGCAGTTGTAAAATAAATTACAGTGTTAAAGCAGGTGAGAAGTTAACCTCGTTTGCTCAGTGCTGGGTGTGCTGCCTGTGTTGGGGCTTTTCCCTTTGCTTGGGGGCTTAGGGTGGTTTTGTTTGGGGGTTTGGTTAATTTGTGGACAGCACAGACCTCTCTGAAGGGCTGACAGGTAATCTTGGTTCCACTTTGAAACACTCTTCAGCATCCTGTGGTTTGTTTGGAGGGAAGGTGGTGTCAGTTGGAGTTCATTTGCTGGTGGTGAGTGGTGGTCATTGAGGTCATATTGGAGAGACAAGTACAAGGTGTGATCTGCCCTTAACTGGGGAAAATATAAATGTGCCACAACCAACTCTGCAGGAGTGGTTGGGAAGACCTGGTTAGTGGTGGGAGGGTTGTGGTGGTGTAGGTTTGTTGGCTCTTTTCCCAAATCTGCCTCCTCTGTAGGTACAGCCACGTGGGCTGAAGGTGTAGCGAGCTGTACGAGGGCTCTGGGGGTCTGTGCCCTGTTGGAGGTGATCCCAGCAGCTGACAGGCTTCAAAGGCTCCTGTCAGAACTGCTCCTGGGGCAGGTTTATGCATTTCATAACCTGTGGGTGACGTAATTCAACAGGAGCAGTTGTCTGTTCCAGCTTTTGTCCCTGCTGTTGTGCTGCACCAGCATTCTCCTGCTGCTGGCCATCTCCTGGGCTGGGGGTTGAAGGCAAAGGCTGAGCTTTTCCCCTAAAGCCCTGAGTGTTCTGCTGCAGCACGTAACTTAAATTTACCAAGGTCACTGAACCCTATTTAATGTGCTTTCTGGGAGGCTGACAGGGTACAAAAGATTGGTTTGTACCCTCCTGTCAGAAGGATGAGGCAGTAATACAAGAGCTCAGTTATTTGTGTGCTGAAGGGGCTGTGGTTCACCAGTGATGTGACAGATTCACTAATGATACCTGACAGAAGTATTGCAAAGGAGTAATTGTTAAAAAAAAAAACAACACCAAACCCCAACTCTCTTCTATTATGCAATGTGTTTAAAAAGGAAATATTTTCTTTTTAGAATATCAAGAATGCAGGTTCCCATGTGACAAAATATTGAGCTCAGGTGACTAGTGAGTAGGTGTAAATTGAATGGAAGCTGCTTCAAAATACAGTGATAATAGTTTCCTATCTGTAGAGACTTTTAATTTTGGTAACAGGTTTTATATTTTCATACATTGTATTGATTACCAAACAATTCCTGAATACTTTGACTGTCTTGCTTGGGAGACACTGAGGTTGGATGGTTGTTACTCAGCTCTGCTTAAAATCACTGTGCCAGAAGAAATTCTTCCCTGTGAGACACTGGCACAGGTTGCCCAGAGAAGCTGCTGCCTCATCCCTGAGAGTGTTCCAGGCCAGGCTGGACAAGGCTTGGAGCAACCTGGGCTAGTGGAAAGTGTCCCTGCCCATGGCAGGAGGTGGAGCTGGGTGAGCTTTAAGGTCCTTTCCAGTCCAAATTGTTCCATGATTCTACAATTTGGTAGCATAAAATATGTTTCCATTCAGGTCATTACATGTAAATCAACCCAAGTCTCATCACTGCTTCCTTTTTCTGAAACATTTATGGCAGTGAAACACAATTCTTGTGAGATCCTGCTTAATTTTTACAAGTTTTTCTCCTTTGTTGTTGGTTTTTTTTAAGGAAAAGTCATCAACAAAGACTTGCGCCACTACCTGAGCCTTCAGTTCCAGAAGGGCTCCATAGACCACAAACTGCAGCAAGTGATCAGAGACAATCTCTACTTGAGAACCATCCCTTGTAAGTATGTAAAGATCAGCCTCATTTGATCTGTCCCTGCCACAGCATTTATCATATCTGAATTCCTTCTTTCTTCTTCTGGTTTAGAGTTCTACCTTGCAGCAGGAGCTTCTCAAAGTGGCTTCGCTAGAATAATTTCTTCTCTTGAGTTGTGTTGAATTGGTACAGCCAATATGGCCTGAAAAACAGACCAACTTCAGAACTCCCAACTCAGAGTGTTTCTGTAATATCTGTGCTTTATCTTCAGAAGTTTGTCAGTTGTTGGTAGAACACCATGAGAAATAAACCTTCTCAGCATGATCAGGCAGTGCAGACACATCCTGGTTTTGGTCAATGTGTTGGGTTTTTGCACAGAGAGGAAACTGAGCCCTCAGGAGGGTCATGGCATTAGGCAGAGCAGCTCAGCTGGCAGGAGAGGTGCAAGAGGAGTTGTGTGCAAGTGAATCCATGACCAGGAGAGGAGAAGGGAACAGCACATGGATAGACTGTGGTGCCACAGCAAGAATTAATGACTGAGAGAATCTGGATGGACCTGTCTCATCAGCTGTGCCAGGCCTACTGCTCCAACCCTTCACTGGCATCTCTGGGTCCAACCAGCACAAGTGTTGGTTTGCCTTCCACCAAGTGCCTAAAGGCTCCTGCTCCCAGGCCTGGACATTTATAGGAAGCACCACTCAAGGAACAGGACATCCCAACAGCTGCCAAATACCCTGACATTGCTTCCACCCTTCTGTGCCATTTCTTTTCTCAGTTTTCACAGAATCATCCTTTCCCTCACTGCTCAAAAAGGCTCATACTGACTGTTTCAAAACATTCACTGCACTGAAAACTTCTAAGTTTGTCAACTAACGTTTTTGTCTCTACAGGAAGTCTCTTCTCTTTTTAACATCATTACTGTACTGAGCACACCCAAGAGTTTGTGATTTTCTTAAACTGCATTTCACTATTATTATCTTTTATTTACTCGCTCTTGTTCCTGCTGTTCCCTGAACAAAATTGACACATGCCTTTAAAATACCATTAGGTAGTAATGTACTAGTGCAGTCCTTTCCAGGAGAGCTTTAATTAAGCTGCTATAATTATGGGAGGCTGATATTCATAGCCACAACACTTTGAGAACCTCTGCATTAACACAGCAATTCACTGATCACTTTGAAAACACTGACCCACAGCCAAGGGTTGGTGTGGGGCTGAATTACCCTCTCAATTGGAAGGTTAAAAAATGAGTTTTGTGCTTAGCTTATGGATTTGGTGGCCCATAATCAAACATGCTTAGTCACACTGACCTCATTGCAAACTGGAGAGCTGGGACTGATGGAAGCAGGGAGAGATGCAGCACCCTTAGATTTGGGTCGGAATAAAGTACCACAGCACTTTAGCAGATCCCAGACTGGGATTGCCTGGCCCAGACATCCTCAGCTGCCTCAGAAGTTGCTTTTTGGTTCACTGAGCATAAAACTTCTCTCTAATTACCACCACCAGCTTTTTTTTTCTCCTCTGGGTTGTTGTTCCTATGTAATTTATTGGCCTAGTTTTATACATTATTGTTCACTTGCTCACCAGTTGTTCTCACTCTTACTGCAATGACATCATCTTTGTATAAGGTTCAAAAATACATTGTTTTCACTGAGCTGTACAGCAGGCAGCATTTGGTAACAGGCAGCACTTAAATATCTTACAAGAATGTTTTCTCTGTCTTTTGCAGGCACTACAAGGGCTCCCAGAGATGGGGAAGTCCCTGGGGTAGACTATAATTTCATTCCTGTTGAGCAGTTTAAAGCACTGGAAGAAAGTGGAGCCTTGCTAGAAAGTGGAACATATGATGGTATGTTGGTGATGTTTAATGGAATGGGGATAAGGACCCAGTACTCATGTCCAGGATCTTAATCCAGGTGCAGCTCCCTGTGGTGCCACTTTTTCTGCCCATTTGGTGGTCATTGTATTCTCAGAGTGGCAACAGGAGTCTGTTTTTGGTTTACCTGTGAAGAGGAGGAGTGATCTTGTTTTAAAGCTCTCTACTAAATCACAGGTTGTCCTTTCAACCAGCCTTAATGCCATCAGATTATTTTCCCTGTCGCATTTTTGGGAAGGTTTGTCTGTGCCTGGTGCATTTTTAACAGATTTCAGTCAATTTTGTGTAAACCTTAGAGGGCAGAGCCATGTTCTCCATGCATCAAAAGGGCAGAAGGCAAAGGGAATTCGGAGCCAGCAGGGAAAAAAAAGCCTTTTCCAATGAAAAACTGACCAGTGCTAGACCAAATCTGGAGCAAATTGGTTGTGTTAAGTGTGGTGGGGAAGAATATTGTAAAAAAAGAGAAGAAAATGTCTGAAGTAGATGATCCTGTGACAGACTCTGCCTCCTGTTCCCCTTGTCCCACACTCTGTTCACATTGTCCTGTCTGTGGAAATATCCTAAGCAAATTTAGGCTAAACTAGTGCTTTTTTTTTCCCCCTCCTTAGCTGCCCTTTTTTCTGGCTGTCACCACTCTGAGCCTTGCCCTCACTGATATTTGCAGAAGGGTTTCTTATTTATTTTATTTTCATGGTCAAAACCATATCCAGGCACCACGAGTTACCCCAGCAG